GACAGCTCCCAGCCCAGCTCGTCCAGTGGCAGGCTGCACGCCCACCGGCCTTCTGCGGAGTCCTTGACTGTACGTTCAGAGGCTTTGTGCCTGCTCCCCCACTCCCAGTCCGAGCGTTGGGTGCCCTTTGCAAGCGTCTCTGGACACTGCCAGGACACTGCTGCAGTGTCTCAGCGGTAGCAGTTCGGGACGGCCGGGACAGCCACTGCTCCCAGGCTGCAAGGCTGTCCCGGAGACGGAGACGGGGCGTGCAGGCAGTAGAAGTGCCCCAGGCAGCCAGCGGGCCGGGGCTGGTGGCAAAGCTCTTGTTTAACGGGTGCTTGTCGGGTGCTCTCATTTCCCTGCAGGTCACCCGTGCCATCTCCGAAATGGTGTCCGTGCAGTCCAAGGAGGGGGTCCAGAGCTTGCTTCCCTCCCTCCTCCCTGGGCTCCTGCTGCAGCTCAGCAAGGCCCTGGGGGAAGAGATGCTGTTTGCGCCCCTCAGCCCCTGGAGAGGGCACGCTGAGGATCAGCGGCAAGAGGGCAACGTGTGCAGGTCAGGAGCAGGAGGGGCAGGGCAAGGGGGGCTTGAATGGCCTAGCCAAGCATGCTTGTGTGTTTCCTGTCCTGCTTTGTGGCCCAGCTCTGGCCACGGGCAGCTGTGCTTTCCTGCCGTGGAGGCTCTGCCGGTGTAATTCCTGGCCTGTCAGGGTGCACCAAGCATTGCACTCAGGCGGTGCTGCCTCCCTGGGGAGGTTCGAGTGCTCACATCAGTCCCCCCACTGCACAACAGGGTACCTTGCCACACAGTTGCTTTTCTGGCCAGCTTTTGCCACAGACTTGGTGGCTACAGAGCGTTGCCTCTGCGCTTCTTTGCCTCTCCCTCCCTCGCTGGAGCTTGGGATGAGTGAAAAACCAGCTCGTAAAGCTGCTGAGCGTTCTTGCTCTGCTAAGTCTTCCCCTGCGGAACACTGCTCTGATCTGAGACTTCTCTGGCTCTTGCTCTTTCCCAGGCCTTTCTGCGAAACTCTCATGTCAGTGCTGAGCAAATGCGCTGAGAAGAGCTGGCTGACGCCGTTCTGGAGGCAGAAAATGTCGGCACTGCTGGAGAGCCCCCGCACTTATGCCGAGGGCATGTGCCTCCTGATGAGGTGAGAGCCCCAGGGCAGCATCTCGCCTTCCTCTCGGTGGCTGCGCCCAGGGGAACAGCTGCCGGGGCCGTTCCTGCATGCTCGGGGAGCTCTGTGCAGGGCAGAGCAGCGCCTGTGCTGGAGGAGGGGAAGTCCGTGGTGGCAGCCTGCAGCCTTCCCACTTGACCGGGCGTTGCCCCTTGTGCTCTTTGTGCAGTGTCCTGCTCCGTGCCCAGCTCATCTCCCGGGAGCTGATTGAGATCTTCTCCCAGTGGCTGCACTACCCATCAGCAAACCTGCAGCTGATGGCCATGGCTTTCTTTGCTGAGGTGAGGCAGTAGGAGGGCAGGGGGGCTCCCCAGGGCTTTTCTGAAAGAGATTGCTGCTTGGGCTGCCTCTTGCTGTGGGGAGAGATGAGAAGCAAGCCTCCCCATCGAGACTCCTTTGTGCGAAGCCTGCTCATGTGCTGTGCCTGGGCTGAGGTTGTGTCCTGACTCTCGTGGCTGTGTTGCTCTGTTGCAGCTGATGAAGGAGCCGCCTCTTGAGAAGAGGAACATCCTGAAGACTCTGCGTGTCTTGGCTGAGAAAGCACACCACCGAAGCAGCACCATAAGGCAGCTGGCAGCGAGAGCTCTGGGCAACGCAGCCGGCAGCGTGCCCATGGAGGTGAGACAGATTTCCCTGCGCCCTGACTGCAGGGATATTCCCCTCCCTAGCAAGACCCCAGGGGAGAGCTGCTTCAAGGGCCTGGACAGAGCGGCAAAGGCAAAAGCAGGGCTCCTTCCTAAGGCCGCGCTCCTTTCCCTCATGCCAGCAGGGCTGCCGAGGGCAAGTTGGGTGCCAAATGTCAGAGTCAAAAAGTCTGTGCACGTCTTTGGCTTTGCAGGTGCGGAAACGCAGGAGACGAGTTGTCCGGGTGCTGCAACAGAGCCTGGCGGACACTGCCTGTCCTGAGGTGGTTGCAGAAAGCATGCTGGCGCTAGCTGAGCTCGTGAGGGTGCTGCAGGTGGTGAACTTGGGATCGGCCTTTGAAGACATCGCCAGGTCCACCAAGATGTTCTTCGAGTCTGTGAGTGAAGCCAGCTCTTGCTGCTGCTGCTCTGAGAAGCGTGGGGTGGGCAGGGGCCTGCACGCGCCGCCTGGATGGCCTCTGCTGGCTGAGTGCCTGCTTCGGCCTCGTTACCCAGCTGACAAACGGCTTTCTGCTTGCAGGAAGAAGAGTACCTTCGCTACTCGGCCTTGCGCCTCTATTCAGTCCTGGCCTCCTCAGCCTCGACCAAGGGGTTGTTCTTTGCCAGAGAAGTGGCAGAAACATGGCTCAGCCTTTTCCTGCACCTCCGGGATCCTGACTTTGCAGTTGCCAGCGTAAGTGCCCTTGCAGCTTGCTCCCAAAGCCCCAGAAAGCTGCGTGGCCAGGGCTGAGGCGTTCTGCCCCTGCTGCCTGCTCAGCGGCTGCCGGGCGTCTCTGCAGATCCCCCCTAAAAGTGTGCCAGCGAGCCTTCCGCTGTGCTGCCCAGGGCAGTCTTACCAGCAAGCATCTCAGGCCTCTGGGCCCTTTTGCTGGCCACGCGCCTTCGTGCCTGCCTTTGTCTCCCAGAGCTGGCGCTCCCCTGGGAGCGGGCAGTGGGGAGCAAGCCCACGGATTCGGCCGCCAGGCATCAGGACTGGGTCGGGTGCCGGCCTAAGGGATGGAGCAGGTCCCCTCTGCTGCCGCCAGTGCATTCCCCTGCCAGCGAGTGCCCCTCGGGCAGCCCCCCGCCAGGTGGAGCTCAGCAGCACATGGCTGGCTGAGCTCCCTGGGCAGGTCCCACACACGCTGCTGGAGGAGGAATGACGGCACAACTCTCCTCTTCAGATGTGCAAGATCACCTTCAGTCTCTGTGTTCCATTTATGGGGCTGAGGCGGCCACGGGAGATCATCTCTCTCTGCAAGAGGCTGGGTGCACAAGAGCTGCAGGATGCGCTCTGCACTTACCTGGTAAGTAAGCTGTGCTCCAGCGAGACGTCAGGGCCCTGCGGCCCTGCCCGGGCTCCCCAGGGGAGTGCGCGGTGATGCACGTGGGGCTGGCCGGGACTGGGCCATGGCCATCCCTCCTGGCCACCCACTGCCTCTCCCCTTCCCCCTGTGGCCCACCCAGCCAGCTGGCTGAGGGGCAACAGAAGGCATCTTTTTGGACCCCCGTGAACTTGTGCCTTCCTGTCTTGCCCTAGGCCAGATACGCCCTCCCAAAGTTGGAGAGGCTCCGTAGCGTAGCCAGGAGAGGCTGCCTAGAGAACGGGCAGAGGCTGCACCCATCGACCTTCGAAATCCTTGGTGAGAGCCCGCACTGGAACTTAACCACTCCCTTTCCTGACCAGAGAGCTGTAGGGGCCTCTGCTTTCTCTTTCCTCTTTCCTCCGGGCCCTGCCTTTGCAGAACAGGGCAGACACCGTGCTGTGTCCCATGGGCTGAAGATGGGGTAGACAGGGACGCAGGGCTTTGCATTGCAACCTGCCTCCGAGTTCCTTCAAAAGCTTGAGCAACCATCAAGGAGTGATCTGGAGAATCTGGAGAGCAGCTCCAGGGTGGCAGGGGGCACAGCTGCCTGGGCTGGCTGCTCACAGCTCTGGCTGTCTTGTTGCAGCTTTCCAGGGCCCGAGCAGCACTGAGGACGCCCAAGTGTGGAGAAGGCAGACGAGGCCCTCTGTGGCTATGGCACCCTGTGGACAATAAAACTCTGTACATGTACGTGGTCTCAGCGCTCGCTGTGTCCTTGGGGAAATCCAACTCAACGTGGCCTCCCCTCTGCGGACAAAGGGTCTTTTTCGTAGGGCCAGGGGGGCACGTTGGGGCCTGTGGGGAAAAGCCTGGCAGGATGCACAAATGGGTTCTGAAGGAGCTGGTGGACCTAACCGTGAGGCCTCCCAGGGTTATCCAGCAAACGTCACCGCGATCAGGAGAGGCTGCTGGCAAACGGGAGAAAGCAAACGTCACCCCTCCAAATTGGTTTCTTCCCTGAAAAAGAAACTGCTTGCCACTCCTGTTCCCAACGTGTCCATTTCGTGAGGAGCGCAGAGAACGTATACTACTGTAACCTGGATCTTACCTTTTTCCCCCAGGTTTCACTAAAGAGCCCTTTGCACCCTTTGCACCTTCCAGGAACTCATCTTGGGCATCTTTGGAAAACTGCTCTCCAAAGCAGTTCTCAACATGTGCTTCTGGGATGGTTTTACTCGGGTGGGCAGCTGAGCTCCACCACAACCGCTCTCTCACTCCCCCTCCTCCAAGAGGAACAGGGAGAAAAGAGGATGCAAAGGGCTTGAGGGTTGAGATAAGGACGGGGAGATCGCTCAACAATGATCGTGACAGGCCAAACAGAGTCGGGAGACAGTCACATTCATTGCCTACTCCTAACAAGCTAGAGAAGCGAGAAACAAAGGAAAGAAACCCAAAATGCCATCCACCCTCTTCCACCTCCTCCCCCCAAGCGGCAGTCTCACGCAATTTTCTTTCTTGCAACCTAAGTTTAACAGAGTCCTATGACCAGCATGTCTAAGCCTTATGATTAATGTAGTTATCTGAAGTCACCAGCAATTCAGTCCCTCTTCTACAGGACTATACCAAATGCTCCAGATTTTATTCCACTGAGAAATAGTTACTACAATATGTCAAGTGCAGTTTCAAAGAACACGTTCAGGTTATATCTTGGTGTCAATCTCAAGTGACTTCCAGTAAACTGGGCTAAATTTTTCCTCTAGTAAGGCAGCATAGACAATTCTGTAGAAATAGTATTCTCTAACACAAAGTGAAATATATTGACAACAAATAGAAATCATCGAGTATTTATTGTTTCATTAAAAAAATAAAACTAAAATGAAATAAAAGAAGAAGAAACTGCATTAGACAGGTTCTTAATCTCTTTCTCCACACCTCTGCCCCTCAGCCACTGGCAGGTTAATATTAATAGCTGTCCTCAGGTTAGCCCAGAAAAGGGCACGCTTGCTCCTCTCCTTTGGCCGCTCCAGGTACGTTCTCTGTGCCATGAGAGCCTTCAGCTTGTGGTACCTCACAGGGATAATATACGGAGGGACAGGCTCCAGCAAAATCAGGATCAAGCTGTTGCAGTTCTCCCTGAACAACGTGTGATGGGCAAAGTACAGCTCGTAGTGACACCACTCGCTCTGCACAAAGTTGGGAGACAACACAAAGATTGACTTGTAGCTCTTGTCTATGCAGTTCATGATATTCTCCACAATGCTCATGCCAGGAACAAAGTTTCTCTCGTGCTGGCACAGCCGGACGCTGCCCTCCCCCTTCTCCAGGTTTGGGATCAGCTCGGTCTTCACCCACACGGAATCGCGCTCGCTGTAGGAAATGAAGGCGTGGAACTGCAGGACGGTTTCCCGCTCCTCGGGGCACTCGTGCCAAGTTCTGCGCTTCGTCTGCGTCCACTGCCACAGCACACGCACGTACCACGGCCCATCCAGGTAGATGCACAGAAAGGCCACCACCCCCACCAGCACCAGCGTCAGCAGCAGCAGCAGAGCCGTCACAAGCAACAGGGTCGTGTTGCAAGCGAGCTCCGTCAAGTGCAAGTCCTTCAGCTGCATTCCCTTCAAGTCCTCGGGGTACTCGCACACGTATGCCTCCGGCCAGCCGGACAGCTTCCCCCCAGACTGCCTCTCCAGACGCACGAAGGCCTGCAGTTCACAGGAGCACTTGAACGGATTGTGCCCGGCTTCCAGCTCCCGCACCCTCTGGCAACTCTCCAAGAAGTCGGCGGAAGGGCTGAGGATCGAGTTCATCTCCATATTCAGGATCTCCAGGGCCCAGAAGCCACTGCACCCCGGCAGGTCGGCCAGCCTGTTCAACGCCAGCTTCAGCTCTTTCAAGGACTTCAGCTCAGCAATCCCCTGGGGGACGCTGCTGATCTGCTTGTTGTGTAGGTCCAGTTTGTTGACATTGAGCGGCAAGCACCCGAACACAGACTCTGTCAGCTGCTTTGAGGACAGGTCCAGCTCCTTCAGAGACTTGCTCCGTTGGCAGCGCTCCTCGGCTCCATCGTTACGCAGCAATTTGCTGCTCATGTCCAGATAGCTCCGTGATTTCATGTACCTGGTCATGGAGCTCACCTTGGAAAGGCTCTCAAATTTATTCTTCTGTAAGATAAATATCTCCAGTTGAATTAATGGATCACAGTTTTGAAAAAGCAGATCGGTTAAATCATTGTTTATAAAATTTAGGTACCTCAAGGGACTGAGGGACTGTTAAATGAAGGACATAGCATCTGTATCATCTCTGATCCTGCTACTGTCAAGGCTTCAATGTTCATGTCTGCAAATATCCGGTACAGGTCATTCTGTGAAAAGGACAGATCTGTGACTAAAATGTTCTTCAGTGCCAGTGCTTTCATGGAAGTACCCGAATACCTGAAGTTATATTTTTCTATGTCCGGCAATTGCTTAAAACTGTTGATATTGAAATATTCAATGGATGATTGCCATATAGTCTGAAGAAGTTCAAGAAAAATAGTCCAGTCCACTGACACATTTGTCAGTGCCAGATTTTGTAGCCTGGAGCCTTTTCTGAAATCAGACAACAAAATTATTGTTTTTTTTTTACATTGCTATTAGTGATTTGTGACAATGACAGGCTTTCTGTAGTGTTTTCTATTACAACCCAATTGTAATCAATTTTGGACCGCTGATGATGTTTATGCAACAGTGTGTGAGGAATGTTTCAACAATTCGTGTCCATAAAGAACAATTCTGTTTGAATCCTCTCTGCCTCTGGGCCCTGCACTGGCAATTTAATTCTTGAACCACAGATGCAGTGTGTCCCAGTCTCCCCCTCATTCTAGTCAATTTATCACGTCTTCAGAAAACATTCCTTACATTTATGAACCTGTTTGCTTTTGTTATTCCGGACTTCTATTTCTAACAGTTACAGCCTTTTTTCCTGTCTTCTTCGAGATTAACTTAACACTGCTATAGATGTGTCTGTGAATGGCTGGGGAACCTTAACAACCTTAACAATGTTGGTCTTTGATGGCTGTTGGATAGACGCTTTATTGATATCTATGCATTCTCCACTTCTACACTTGAATTTGCCAGGTCCAGAGCACTGAATAACATTGTTACAGTTTGCTTCATCAGTGCCATCCAGACAGTCTCTCACACCACTGCACTGCCTATCCCTATGGACACAGTTCCCATCTTCACATCTGAACTGGTCCAAGAAGGGCAGTTAATTTCATCACTTCCATCCTTGCAATAAGGATCTCTGTCACATCGCGGCCACACTGCTCCAAAGATTGGAGCATTCGAATGGTCGGAGCAGTCACCTTGACCATTGCAGACAAAGCTTTTGGAAATACATTGCCCACTACTGCATGTGAACTCTGCTGCACTACAAGTCACATTGCCACAATTCTCTTCATCTTCTCCACTGTCACAGTCTTTTTCACCATCACATTTCCAGGACACTGGGATACACTGGGTTGACACAGATCAGCACTCTCATCAGACCCATTTTCACAGTCCGGATCCCCATCACACTGCCATCTGTTCGGCACACACTGACCACTGTTGCACACAAAGTCAGATTCAGCACACATCTTCTATACACAAGCACTCTTGTCACTGCCATCTGAGCAGTCTTCACATTTTGCTCTAGCACCGTCGGCAGCAGTGCACAGTCAGGTGAGCAGCAGGCAGAGCGCCCTGTCAGCATGGCAGCGCTCACCGCTGCCCCGCACCGTCACCTATGTCACTTATACTACTCCTATTACCCATGCTGTTAGTGTCAGTGGCATCCTCCTGGTACCGTTTCTGTCTTTGTCGCCCCTTACTCTCCCCTTTCTCTTTTTGCCACTGGCCGTTCACCACAAATGGATGAGACACATGATTACTAGTGAGGAAAGTGAGTGTAACGTCTGCTATACAGCTGCAGGCAGTGCCAGCTGCAGCCTTAGGTTTGTGAAAGAGCCTGCCGGTGGGCATTTGGCAGTGTAATCTGCGTCTCTGCACTCCTGCCCCGCAATAAAGGTAGTAATAGAGCTAAGTTGTCATTAGTAATCTGTAGAATGTAGCAATCCCACGGAATGTTATCCAGAAACATAGTTATAACACCGATCTGGGGACGAATAGTCTTTTTGCATTGCAAGATAAACCTCTCATAACAAGAATGCCAGAGAGAAGCAGCATAGCTGCTGCTGCCTCCATGGTTACGTCAGACAGGCTGCAGGGTCCTGGTGTCTGTCTGCCCCTCTGCTCTGTGCCGACTCGCCACACACTGAGGGTCGGCTGCCGTTGTCCACTGACGCCTCTGGTCTCCCGTAGCAACTCGATCTCGGGTCTCCCGGTGCCGCTCCGGGCTCTTGGCCTGTTCAGGTCTCAGTGAGTCTGGGTCTCAGAGAGTCCAGGTCTCGGCCTGTGCGGGCCTCAGCCTGTTCGGGTCAAGTTCCTGCTCAGGCACCATATGTTGCAGGAAGCACGGCACAAACGGCAGCCCCCGGGGCAGTTTCTAAGGCTGGGATGAGGGCGCAGCCCCTCTGGGGAGGGCCTTGGGCTGGGCACAGAGGTGCTCCAGCCAGGGCAAGTGCCCAGAGGCTTTGGGGATGAGGCAGGCACCCGTGGCCCCAGGAGACGCTGCTGCCCCACAGGGGCTGGGGCCTGGGAGAGCCTCCTGTGGTGCCCCCTGCCTTGTCAGCACCCCTGCGCGGGGCAAAGCCCAGCCCAGGGCTGCTCATGGGCAGAGCTTGGCAGGACGGTCCCCACGCCACCTCTGGCCAGGGCTCACGGCCCTGTTGGGCACCTGAGAGCTGCGCACAAACACCTGCCTGGGGGGGCCTGCAGCCCTGGACATGCAGCGCTCCCAAACCCTGCCCTTGCTTCCTCCAAGCTCCATTGCCCCCTCTCCTACCTACCCTCGCGTCTCTCTGGCTCCTGTCCCTTCTCCCCCAGCCCCCAGCTCCCTCGCACCCAGCCCTGCTGAGCCCCTTCTCTCCCATCTCTTCCAGACCATGGCTATTCTTCTTGTCTTTATGCTGTCAGTGCTGAGCCTCCTACAGCTCATGCTTCAGCTTGGGGACCAGCGTGACAATGTCACCTGGGACCTCATTCAAGAGCGAGAGGTGATGATGAGGCAGGAGATGTCGCAGCTGCTGCAGGAGCTCGAGGAGGGGAGCAAGCTGCAGAGTGGGAACAGCGCATTATTCGTACTCCTCGCCATGTGCCACCACTGGCAGTTCTGGGCACTTTGTGAAGTGCTTCTGATACTGTTTGGCATGTACTGGCTGCCCAGGCAGAGAAAAGCTGAGGGCAATGCTGATGCTGACTATTGGAGCTCAAGCAGCGAGGATGAGGGTGTAGGAGAGGAAGATGATGAAGTTGAGGAGGAGTTGAGTGTGGAAGAGGAGTGGAAAGAAGAGGACCTCAATAGCCAACATGATCTGGGCCTGCTCGTGGGTCAGCTGGGGGAGTCTCTGCTGCTGAAGCTGCTCAGGATGCAGAACATCATGGAAGAGACGGCAGGGGCGAACCGTGCAGCAGCAAATTCCCTTCAAAGAAGCACCCTCCTGATGGAGCTGCAGGCAGAGATGGGTTTGTTTGCAACCCTGGTTGAGAACAACCTGGCTGTTTCTTCCCTCAGTTGCTCCAATGCCTGACTTAATGTTTCTCCTCATAGTTCCCTTCAAGCTTCCCCTGAGGAATACCTAGAACGATTAGATGCATAGGAATAGTCAGATAGTTCAGGTTGTTTTTTTACAAGATGACTTCTCCGATATAGAAGAGTTACCTCAATAGAAATAGATGTGTAATTTATAAGGACAACGCTGCAGCTGGGTTTTGGGATTCCAACAAACCTATGAATTGAAGGCTCTCGCCTGATCCATCTGAAGATGCTGCTGCCACGAGTCCTGCAGCAGAGGGTACCATTACGACCAGCACAGCAACTGCCCACGCTGCCAGGGGAGTGGACCCCTCTAGAAGCTTTAGTTCAAGTAAAAAGACAATAAATTATGTTCGTTAACACCATCCCTGAGTGTCTTCTCTTGAGCGTCTAAGAGAAACTTTGTTGGGTGATGCTAGCCTTTGGTTCCATTGCTTCTGTCTAATAAAGAGATGATCTTTGGGCTTGGTTGTATGTTAGCAGTGGCTACGTTTCTGACAAGTCATTTGGGAACAGCAGGATTTCTGCAGCCTGCTGCTAGGAGAGGTAAGTGCAAAGAGGACTGCTGCCACTTGCAGCCGCTGCTGCTCAGGAGTGCTGCTGCCCGGCTGCAGGGACTCAGCACGGAGCCTGGGTGTCCTGATTTCAGTTAGGACAGAGTTAATTTCCTTTCTAGTAGCTGGTAGAATGCTATGTTTTGACTTAGGATGAGAAGAGTGCTGATAACACCTCAATGTTTTAATTGTTTCAGAGCAGTGCTTACACCAACTCAAGGGCATCTCATCTTCACGTTTTACCAACGTGACCATGCAGAGGACGTGAGAGAAAAGGATGGAAAATCAAAGCTTTCCTTAAAGGCATGGGTAACTGAGTTATAAATAGAAACAATGGGGGGGAAAGGGGTTCTCTGAGAATCGTGCTACTCCAAATTCCCCAGATCTGGTCCCAAGATCTGGCACTTTGTGGGGCTTAACTGCGCTTCAGTGAGAAGAATGTCTTCTGGTGTGAACTGAAATTATACCTCTATACCACAACGTGGTTTTTTTTTGTTTGTTTGTTTTTTCTTTTTTTATTTGGGGGAGTTTGGGGGCAGGGGCAAAATTTCTTGTGGACACCTGCAGGAGTTGCAAAATAATAATAAACTTTAGGTGAAGGAAAACTTCCTTCTCTGTTGTTGTTGTTTCTGTTTCCTTTTTCTTGCAGTCTTAAAATGAAGGTCCCATTTTCTGGCCTTTGGCAGATGTCGTGGTTTAACCCGGCCGGCAGCTAAACACCATGCAGCCGTTCGCTCACCCTCCCCCCTCCCTCTCTGGGACGGGGGAGAGAAATGGAAAGTGAAGCCCATGAGTTGAGATAAAGACAGTTTAATAAGACAGGAAAATAATAATAACAAAAATAATAATAACAACAATAATAATAATAATACAATGGTGATAATAGGAAAGTAATAATAATATGTACAAACAAGTGATGCACAATGGAATTGCTCACCACTCGCTGACTGATGCCCAGCCTAACCCCAAGCAGTCCGGCCCCCTCCCCCTGGCTAGCCACCCCTATATATTGTTTAGCATGACGTCAGATGGTATGGAATACCCCTTTGGCTAGTTTGGGTCACCTGTCCTGGATCTGTCCCCTCCCAGCTCTTACTGCACCCCCAGCCTGCCCGTTGGTAGGACAGAGCAAAAGGCTGAGATGTCCTTGGCTTAGTATAAGCACTGCTCTGCAACAATTAAAGCATCGGGGTGTTATCAGCACTCTTCTCATCCTAAGCCAAAACACAGCATTCTACCAGCTACTAGGAAGAAAATTAATTCTAACTGAAACCAGGACAGCAGAGCGTAAGCACGCCGGAACACTTCACATTACATAGATTAAATTTGTCTGCAATGATAATATCATAACTGTAGTCTGCTGCCGGCTGCAAAGTAGCCTATGCCTCAGGTACTGTCTTCTACCCTTGTAACTTTTGTTACGACATCCTCGTAAGTCTTCAAAAGGGAAATGACGTTACCCTATTCAGAAAAAAAAAACAAACACCACTTTCCGAGCCAAAGGGAGAGGCAGAAAGTATGAACCTTAACAAAGCAGCTGATTTTTATGCTCCTAGACTAATACGTATTCATTACTACTTCTTAAAAAAATAGATTATTATAATTAGCTTCCGGGGTCCAGTCCCTCCTGCTGGAGCATGCGCATCAGTCTCCTCTGGGGGTCTCTAGGGGTCTTTCATGCTGAAGGCTCGTAGTCTTCCTCTCCCCTTTGTACTCACTCGGCACAACTCCAAGTTTATAGAACACTTTCTGCAGGTCTTGTCTCCCAACCGTCCTTCAGCTTCTTTTTCCTTCCTCTTAATCTCTTGGCCTCCTAGCCAGATACCAAAGATCCGCATAGTATCCCATAACAGTCGCTAGTTGTTATCAGCTGTTCTGAAACTCCCAGACATCACACACAAACAGCTTTCTTATTTGACGCTTCATGAGTAATTAAAACATTCTTCCCCAGCCATTCACAGACACATCTATAGCAGTGTTAAGTTAATCTCGAAGAAGACAGGAAAAAAGGCTGTAACTGTTAGAAATAGAAGTCCGGAATAACAAAAGCAAACAGGTTCATAAATTTAAGGAGTGTTTTTTGAAGACGTGATAAATTGACTAGAATGAGGGGGAGACTGGGACA